TAGAGAGGTCCCTAACCACAGACTTTCCCATCACAATACGTTTTTTGATTTCCTGGCTACTGGTGCCAAGAGTGTTAACCGTGGAGCCGAGCAAACTGAAGCTGTGAACAATCTCAATCTCTTCACCATCCATCCTGATGCTACCGATTGGTCCAGTGGTGAGAATCTAATTACCATGTGAAAAAAGTACTCACTATATTTCCTTTAAAACCTACTCATTCTCTTATATTCCTCATTTCCACGAAATTTCCCTCCACCTATGCCAGATGGATAATCAGGTTATATTATCCAGATGGACAACAAGTTATAGATATTGTTATTGTTGTTGATTGCCTTCGAGTTGAGCCCATCTCATAACAACCCTATGAACAAAAGGTCTGAAGCCTTTCTATAATTATCGACATTTATTAAAGTTCATAGAGTTTCTGGAAGCATGTTGTTTAGGAAGTGGATGCCACTATCACTAACAATATCCTCCATAATATATACATTGTTGTTATGTGCCATCAAGTCATCTGTGACCCATAGTGACCCTATGTACAGCAGCTCTGAACTCTGCCCTGTCCTGAGCCAGTCTCACTGATATTGACACACCAACCTCCATTGCCCCAGTTACTGTATCAATCCATCTCATCCAGGGCCTTCCTCTCCTGTGCTGTCCCTCCACTCTTCTGGGCATGATTTCCTTCTCCAAGGACTGGTCTCTTCTGGCTATATGCCCTAAGTATGTGACATGGAGCTTAAAATGCTACCATTCAAGGAGAAACTTGGGGGGGGAAAGGAGAAACTTGGTTTCATCCTCTCCAAGACAGACCTATTTGTCTTCTTGGAAGTCCATGGTATTGTTCAAGACTCTTCTCCAGCACAACTTGAAGCATCAATTCTTCTTCTGTCATTCTTAGTCATTGTCTAGCTCTCTGATTCACAGCAAGTAATTGTAAAGACCATGGCCTGGATTAGGCGCACCATAGTCTCTAGACTGACATTGTTGCTTTTCAGTACTCTGGAGAAGTCCCTGACAGTAGATTTTCCCAATGCAATTAGTCTTTTGATTGATTTTTCTGACTGCTGGTGCTAGAAGTGTTGCTTGTGGAGCTGAGCAAGCTGTAATAGTTAACAACCTCAATCTCTTCTCCATCTATCATGGTGCTACTAACTGCCAATATATGTATCTATGATACAGATAGATAGCTATACTTTTTTGTTTTGTTTTGTTTTTTATATTTTAACATTTTCTATCTTGGAAGAAGTAGTACTAAGGACTGAGAAACACTAGGGGAAGAAGTTATATAAGCCTGGTAGGGAATTCAGAGGACAGCCTGAGATATAATGTGGCTTAATAAAGTATTCTTTTGTAAGTACAGTGAATCTTTGAGGATGCAGTCTTAGCCTTTTTTGTCATTTTTTATCACTCTCTATTTGGGGACTCTGGTGCCTTAGTGGTAAGGAGTTTAGGGAGCTCTGGTGGCTTAGTGATAAGAAGTTGCTCTGTCAACCCAAAGGCATGAGGTTCAAATCCATCAATTACTCCATGGGAGAAAGATGGGCATTCTCCACGCATGTGGTTAACTGCCTCTGTTAACCCTCTGGAGGGTCAGCTATGGGTCAGTTCCAACTTGATGGTACAAAACAACAAGTAGGGGAAGATATTTTTAACTTCCTTTCCTCTGACACTTTTTGAGTTTCACAGGCTTTACTATTGTATTTGAAGACAAATATCTTAGGCATTTAAAAATTATTAAAAACTTTGGACCAAATTATTCTCTTTGACATGCTTTAGACAAAATATATAAACAGTCCATTGATGGGGCAACAGTTAAAGGCTGGACTACTAACCAAAAATTTGATATTTCAAATTCACCCAATGGTTTCATTGGAGACAGACCTGGTGATGTCCTCCTGGAAAGATTATATCCAAGAAAACCCTACTGGGTAGTTTTACTGTGTCTTGTAAGAATGCTATGAGTCAAAATCAACTTTCTGACACCTAACAACATTACTCTACAAGAAATTCCTTTCAAGCCTGATGGAATATAATCAGAGTAAGCAAGCCTACAGCTCTTTTGTAATCATATCATCTACCTCATTCTGCTACATTCGTTTCCTACTACATTCTCCCAGTTCACTACACCTCAATATCTTCTTGCTGCCCCTGAAATATGCCAAACACACTCCTGCCTCAGAACTTCCATCCAGATATCTGCATGGCTCATAGCTCTCGGTTTCCTTTTCACAGAGAAATAAAATAGCACTCTGTATTCCAAAAGCTTAGAACAATGCTGAGCATATAGAAGGAATATGTATTTGTTGAATAAATAAAAATATTCAGAAGACAGGGAAAGTTTCCAAGTAAAATGAGACATGTAGTCCAAATTATGTACCAATTTTCTGAAAATTTTAATTGGGCCTTTTCCCATTAACTATAGTAGAACCTGTGTATCTCTCTCTTTGTTCATGCCTTACAGAGCAGTTTAGTCTATTTTAAGAAAATGATATTTAATTCAACTGAGCAAATAGTAATCAAACTTTACTACAGACAGTATCATCTTTTCTCAATTACTAATGTGAAAACAGACAAGAAGTGAAAAAAAATTCACATACATTCCTCCACAATCTATTCTACACCCTACAATTCACAAATAAATACTGAAGGTAACAAATCCCAAGTTCAGTTATTCTCCTATCTCCTCTACTTACCCTTCATTAGAAATTATGATAATCACAATTCATAGAAAAGAAACTGATAAAAAAATAAAACAAGTGCTGTGTAACTGTGAAACTTGCAAAAGTTAGAACCTGTACAAGAATTTGTCAAAGAAGGAAAATAAAATATTTTTATTAATAGATAGCTCTGGAAAAGTGGTAAGGCTGTTCCCCATCAAGGGAGGAAAAGTTGTGAGAGCCATAGAAACAAGGTAGGTCTGCTGAGTTCTCCGGTTTCGCTGTATTATAATCTCTAAGTAAGTGGACCATGTCTTATATGCCAGGGAAGCTTACACTGGTAGTTAACACTTTAACAAAAGGATACTTTTATGGACGAACACAAGATTAATTTGACCCAGTTGGACTGCAGTCACCACGGCTGTTTTCTCATCAAGTAAAGCCACTTTCTCAGAAAGAGATTGATTACATGCAACTCTATGGTCTTGCAATTCCAGTGTATAATGTTCCAGGGGAAACTGCACTTCTGTAAGATACGAAAAGTTCATAAATGTATTAAAAATAGCCATTCCAACAGATAATTGTGTATAGTTGAATTATGAGAGAAAAATCAGGCAAGTCATCGAAAATAAGATATAGTCTGCTTTTAATATCTTTCTCACTAGGAGGAAATCTTACATGCCCTGGTGGCACAATTGTTTAGTGCTCAACTGTTCCTGAAAAGCAGGTGGTTTGAACCTACCAGCCACTTCAAGAGAGGAAGATGTGGCAGTCTTCTTCTGTGAAGATTTACAGGCTTGGAATCCCACAGAGCAGTTCTACTATATCCTATATGGTTGCTAGGAGTTGGAATCAACTTGACTTTAACAAGTTGGGTCAGGGGTTATGATAGGTTTCTATATGTCTCCATCTCTGAGGGAATACTAGTGAGTTTATTGGGTTGGTTTTTTAAAACTTTTATTTTATTTTGTGTGTGTGTGTGTGTGCCATCAAATCAGATCTGACTGGTAAAGGAGAAGACTGCCCCTCCTTCTCCAGCAGAGCATCTGGTGGGTTTGAACCGTGCACCTCTGGGATTGCAGTGCAGCTTTCTGCCACTAGGCCACCAGAGCCCCCTTAATGAGTTTATTGCTGTTATATGTTTAGAACAATGTTGAAAACCTGAAACTAGTGATATGAGAAGAGCTGGAAAAATTGTTGCTAGGTACAATAAGCAAAGAACTAATGTTAGGGGCACAATTATATGCTTTATAAATTATGAGTTTGGAGACCAGTAAGATTATTAAGTTTTCAGTTAATGAACTGAATTTCTCAAAACACAACTTTTTCAAGGACTTTCAAATACTTATTTATTTCCTTCTGGGAAGTAGTATCTTTGTCCATCCCTTTATCCAACTCTGACAAACTTTTCATGTTGTTTTAATAACAAACTGAGGTATCCATAGGGACTGAAGTTAAATGACCTGCCTTCCTGTTCAGGGCATAGACATTATTGCTATACAGCACTAGCTCAAGTATAGTAAATAAAGGAGTATATTATCATAAAACACAATGTGAAAACACAAATAGCTACTTGTACATATAATGTAATGTTGCTTTTCTGGTTCTTATACAAATCCAGCAGCAAGGATCTGAAAAATTTAATGATTTGGAAAATTATTTTACCTGTCATTCTTCCCTGAACCATTTTTGCAACTCGGTATTTAATATATGCTCCTACTAAGAGATAGATGTCATGAGATGGTATAAGAAATATATTCTCCAAAACAAGTAGACGTATCAATGCAGCTGCCACTTTCTAAAAGAGAGGTGGGGCAAGGATAAGAAAAATATCCATGGCCAAATTCTGAAGGACATATTTTGTAAAAATTATCTTTTACATGGATATTTAAAAATACTTATTAAAGATTAAGAAATGCTTTCAATCACAAGATATCATTTCAGTTAGCCTTAAAAAGTGATCATGATAAAGAAATAAAGCCCTACAAAACAAACTGATATATACGTGCCTATACTCATTGCAGCATTATTTACAATAGCACAGAGCTGCAAGTAAGCTAAGCATCTATAAGCGGATAAATGATTAAAGAAACTATAGTACATTTACACAGTAGAGCATTATGCATCACTATGAAAAAATAAAGAACACTGTACAACAGAGACAATGTGCAACAAATTATGTTGAGACATGAGTCACAAAAGGACAATTATAAGACCACTATTATAAAAACCTAAGGAAAGGTTTACACACAGAAGAATTCTTAGATGGTTACCAGGGAGAGAAGGGGGAACAAAAATTCATAAACAGAGAGGTTGAAAAGAAAGACAATATACAATAAGGAGGTGATTAGATATAATTAATTCATTCTATTAATCAATTGTAGGGAGCCCTGGTAACCAAGTCTAAATGGAGCTGTGCTCTAATCCAAAGGCAGTGCTGTCTGGTGGTTTAAGCGGCTCTACTAGTTGCTCCATGGGAAAAAGATGAGTAATCTCCTTCTAGGCAATTTACAGCCTCTCAAAATTTACTAGAGGGTAACCAATGAGTTGGTTCTGAATTGATGGCAGTGAGATTGAATTGTATTTATTAGTCAATTGTAGTTAATGAGATAAAACAAAATGTGCATGAATAATTAAATGAAAGAATAGTATTTTAAAATTTCACTCAAATAAAAATTGAAAAATCATTTTGTTGTTGTTGTCATGTGCTATCAATTTGCCTGCAATTCATAGGCTCTCTATGTACAACATCTCTGAACTCTGGTCTATCCTGTGCCAGCTTTACTGTCTCTGACACCTACCCCTATTACCCCAGTCACTGAATCAATCCATCTCATCAAGGATCTTCCTATCTTGCGCTGTCACTCCACTGTTCCAAACATGATAATCCACTACAAGGACAGGGCCCTCCTTGCAACATGCCCAAAGTATGTCAGACAAAGTCAGTTAATTGAAAGTTGGTTAGGAGAATTTTTGTAGCAGACAGTGAAATCTTACCTTTTCTCCTTTAATCATATTTGCCTTAATTTACCTATTGTTTCTTGTATAGAAGACTTTTTTTAACACTGCTACTCTTAAAAAAAATAACTCATTATGTAATGAATAGTGAACAATTAATAGTGAATAAATAATAATTAATTAATTCCTCCTGGCCACATGCCCAGCATATGTGAGGTGGAGCTTCAAAATCCTAGCCTAAAAAAAAAAATAAATCCTAGCCTCCAAGGAGAAACTTGATTTCATCCTAAGACATACCTGTTTGTTTTCTTGGCAGTCCATGGTATGTTCAAGACTCTTCTCCAGTACCACAACTCAAAGGTATTAATTCTTTTTCTGTCATCCTTAGTCATTGTCCAGCTCTCTGATGCATAGCAAGTAATTGCAAAAACCATGGCCTGGATCAGGCACACCTTAGTCTCCAGACTGACACTGTAGTTCCTCAGGACTTTGAAGAGGTCCCTGACTGAAGATCTTCCCAACACAATTTGTC